TATTGCGCAGAATAGTCTATGATTGAGTATATTTTCTTTCTTGATGTGTTTCATCATGCGTATTGTGTAAGAAAGTCCACTTTGCTTTAATTAATACTCTCCCTATCATTTTGACAAAAGAACAGGTTGGCTTTTCGACTAGTTCACCTTCTCACATGTATCTTATCTTATGATCTTTTGTATATAGTGGTTCTGGAGTTAGGTACTCTGTTGACTTAGCACCCTCTTTTGCTTTCAAGTCTGCTAGCTCCCATATGCTAAAGTTATACTTTTAAAATGTATTTATTGGCAAATAGTTAAAAAAAATTTAGAAGGCTTTCTAATTTGAACAATTGCCAAACACCTAAGTTCACTTAATTCATACTGGCTTTTTTTTTGTTCTATAAAATTTTTATTAAATATAAGCTATATTGATTTTTTTTTAATATTAAGGTGATCTCTTTGGCCAAGTGAGACTTTTTATTAAAAATCAATGATACTGGTTACAACGAAAATACAACTAGCTACTGTACTTTTGGTGCCATCTATACTAGATACCTGTATCTGTAGCCCAAACTAGGACTATCCATTTAAACCTTCTAATCTTCACCATATATACCATTTCATTCTAACATGGGACTACCACTATTGTGGTTTGTCCTCAGTAGATTTTGTATCTTGCCTTAGTACTTCTATGGATTTATTCTGGGTTTGTGTCATGAAGTTTCCCAAACCACCGTGTATTTGCAGGTCTTTACTATTAAACTTTACTCACTTGGCTATTAAACGATTGACTGAAGTATTGTACCAGATACTTCCACTGACACTATATGATCACCAAGATACAGTTTATTTACTAAAAGGTAATTAAAAAAACTTTAAGCTCAAAAGCTAGATATGTTCCCATTTGGGATCGATACCTTATATTAATTACTAATGCATATTTTGCATTATTAATGATTACATATTTTCCCATCGCTCATGCAATCATTATTACAGACTTTTAATTAATTTAATCATGCTATTCATACATTAACATGTACCCGATCTATGTCATACGAACCGATTACATGGGTATTTGTATTCACCATGTCATGAGCTAGACCCCCATGTACTTTGTTCTCGAAGTCATCATCACCTTTATTCGGTTCATAATTTCTCTCAAACTCTTTATTATTAATTATGTATCTACTATAATTAGTACTCCCAATCAAACTACAATTAACCACACACACCTTTTGATCACACTCTAGACTAGTATAACTATTTATATTAGGTCCAATTATGACAACAAATATCAATATCACAACATACAATATCATTTTTCCTACAAACATTAATCCCGATTTCACTATTGTTTCATGCTAATGTAAAGCCTCACAAGTATCCATCTTATTAGTTCTATAATATTTTCTTGCTTTTAACACTTCTATTTCATCAACAACATCATTGTCCTGACTCATAATACCCTCAACATTCTCATTTGACACAGCCCTTTTACTTATTCTGCATATTTCTATTTTTTTATTTTCTTCATCTTTAATGATTATAGTCTTGATACTATGATCATTGATTTTTGTACATCTATCCATCTCAATCAATTGTTTGGCAACTTGTTTCAAATATGAATTGAACATAACACTTACAAGATTCAACTAAAATACTAATACCTTGTCACTATTATCCACTTGGATCTTCCAAGTCGCTTCAATTACCTCCACCTTAATATCATTATTCATTTTAGCTTCAATACTATCATGATGATATTCACTAGGTTTATTCATTTCATCAGTACTATTCATCTCTGCTGATTTTTGATAACTAATGGATGCCTTAATTTCTTCCTTTTTATCAGCAATTCCATTTTGACAACAGTGTTCAGATTTGCACCTTTTATTAGGATAATTCATCTTTGTGGTTTTATTTTCATCTTTTATACTACATCCACAATCCTTATTATTTTCTGTAGCTAACAACAATCTATTAACTTCAGCTTCCAAATTATCCAACCAACAATTATCCATTTCGACAACACTATTCCTGACTTTATCAGATTTATTTCGACACTTTTTATTTATTTCACATTCCTGGTTTTCATTATTACTAGAATATACATTTATTATATTGTTGATCACCTTATAGCCTCCATCCAAATCATCGTTATCCTTGACTCCACTTTCATTTAAATAACATCGATCAAGGTCATCTATTGCCGATTGTTGATAACAAATAAATATCTTATTGTTTTTTCTGATTATAACTTCAGGTATTTTTTCCTTTTAATATTCGTTTGTTCTAATTTATTATCAACATCATCTAACTTGTTATTACTTAATTCCCTTTTATCCATGCTTCCATCACTACTTTCCGCTTCTATACACAATGCCAAATCTTTGGCTTCTTCGTATGTGATTAGACACATCATCTCAACTTCCCATCAGTATGATTCTTTCAACCCAAATATAAATCAGAATACCTCTTCATAATCTCGAATCGCATGTTTTATCGGCACAACTTCTATCTCATAACAGTAAGTATATATTAAAACAGGATCATCTTGTTTTTGCTTTATTTGCAACAGATGATTAACCTTTTCTTCAACTTCTATGACCCCTTTAATCATTGCCTTCTTTAAACCATACTATGTATTACATGCCTTGATCATCTTTTGTATCCATGGCCTTTGATTCTTTGACATGTACAACACAACCCTATTCTGTTTTACCTTATCGTTCCACTTTTTGAATTCAGTATATCTTTCAAAGTTCCGCAGAAAATCTACCATTTCGACAACACCACAATCATAGAATGGCCTTTCAAGACCTTCAAACATTGGACACATCACATCATTACTTCGCCAATTTCTAGATAACAACATCCTTTGTTGTTTCATTTTTCTATAATACTATGAAAATATCGTTCTCTAACTTGCAAATATACTGCAAGAGAACTACTACGGTTTAACTTTTGACTTTTCTTTTCAAAACCTTAACACTTACTTCAACAAGTTAGCAAGTTTTGTTATTTCCTTAAGTCCCTTCTCTACAAATTACCACTTGATGCTTTCAGATCTTCTGATCCAAGAACTTAACTGAGTAATTACAGCGAGACTTCTGTTCGCTTGCCTAGGTCCTTCTGTCGCAGAGTTTCCCAAACTACTGTGTATTTGCAGGTCTTTACTATTAAACTTCACTCACTTGGCTATTAAACGATTGACTAGAGTATCGTACTAGATACTTTCACCAACACTATATAATTACCAAGATACAGTTTATTTACTAAAAGGTAATTCAAAAAACTTCAAGCTCAAAAGCTAGGTATGTTCCCATTTGGGATCGATACCTTATATTAATTACTAATGCATATTTTGCATCACTGATAATTACATATTTTCCCATTGCTCATGCAATCATTATTACAGACTTTTAATTAATTTAATTATGCCATTCATGCATTAATATGTACCCGATCTATATTATACAAACCGATTACATGCGTATTGGCATTTACCATGTCAGTTTGCACTGACTAATTATTGCTTGCATTTCTCCATTGAGAAGATACTACAGCTATTCTCGAGGTAAACCTACTAGAGCTTTTTGTATCCCATTCTATCCAGCCTAGTCTTCACAGTCTCCAAAGATTCCACTTGCGATATAGCTTAGTAA